TTTATCTTCAGGTACCTCAAAATCATGAGCAGCCCGTTCAAAGGCAGCCAGAAATGACTCTACGCAGTCCCCTTTTACATAACGGGGAAAGTTCTTTAACACCTTTGCATGTTAGAGTCTTGCTGTTGGCTTAAGTTAGGAGTTCTCTCATGTTCTCTAAATTGTAATTCTGCCATTCTCTCTTCATGTTTTAAACGCTCCCTTTCCCTTTCTACCTCAGCCATTCTTTCTCTCTGCCTCTCTTCAGCTTGCATTCTTTCTCTTTCCAATTCAATCATTCTTCTCTTCAGCTTGCATTCTTTCTCTTTCCAATTCAATCATTCTTTCCTTCTCCCTTTCTTGAAACTCAAGTTCTTTCAACCTCATTTCTAGCCTAAGCTTTTCAATGGCCAAAGAGGTAGCTATCTGTTCTTGTCTACCCTCTTGTACTTGGGTCTCAGTTTCCTCAACTACAGAAGCAGTTGTCTCCCCTTCTCTTTCTGGTTCTTCAGAAGTACCCTTCTTTGTCTTCGGTGGTGCCATGGCCTAATGTGTTGTAAAATGGCGCTAGAGGTGTTCTCTCTCTGAGGTAATTCTTGGTGTCACGTTTTGACAAAATTTTACCTCAGGATTTACACAAAAATGCCCTGGATTGAGATGTTACACGAATCCACACCGCTGCAAACCAATTATAATAACTCAGAAGAGGCGTCTGGGCAGGGGGGAACAATCAAGGAAATCCCACCGCTGCCACCAATTATAAAGGTCTTTGAAGTGGCCGTCTGGACAGGGGGCTTAAGGAATCCCACCACCGTCCTTCCTTCAATAAGGAAATTCACACCTCTTCGGCTTTTCTAGGGTTTGAGGGGATGTCACGTTGTGTAAAACCTTCGCTGCCACCATAAAAATAAAGACACACAAACTCTCTAGCTATTTAAAATGTTATCAGGCTGTTTAAATTATTAAAAGGCTTTTTACTCCACCCAAATACTGTTAATTATCAAGGGCTTTCTTTGAGGGGACAACAGGAGAGGTTGATTCAACAAGGAAAGGATTCAAAACCAAAAATGGCACTTGACTCAGGCTTGACTTTTAAAAAAATACAAGAAAGAGTTTATTGATTACAAATACTGAATAACATGTGAATGCAGGTACAGAGGCTTGGTGGTTACAAGTAAAAGTGTTCTGGTTTCTTATAGGCGTATTGGTTACTTGAGAGAATGTTCTTTCCTTTGTTACTGTTTCATAAACACAAAACCCAGCTATTTTCTCTTCAAAAATAGCTGTAACTCAGTCTGCCACAGCCTACTGTGCTGTGCAAACTTCAGGCAAGCTGCCTATTCTTAATCAGAGACTCCTAAACAATCCAACTCCTACTCTAATCTCCCTCAGAACTAAAACTGCTCTCTACTCTACTCAGAACTCAGCTGTACTAAAAACTAACACTGAACTCTCAAAACTCACTGTTCTCTTTCCCTCCAACTGCCTAACTCCGCCCCTCTTTCTCAAACCAATCCTGGCTGTTGCTGGGCTGGCACAGGCCTCGGCCACTCCCCCTCTCTGAACTGGAGCTTTTCCCTAAACTAAGATGGCTCCAGCAGCTCTCTGCCAGGCCTTCTAGCTGAAACTACCTAGCCTGTCTCTTCCTGGGCCCTGCCACCCTGGCTGGCAAGGTAAGGGATCTTTACAACATACATAGATGGTAAAAAACAACAGCAATCCAGAAATCTTCTCTAATTTAAACCTGGAAGCCAAAAGATATTGAGAGAAGGTGTACACCTTACAAATCAGTTTGCATGACTTCGCCAAATGAACTATGTAAAGAAGCTGTCAAAGTGAGGTTGGACTGGGCATTAATTATTCCTGGGTTTATCTGTTAGTCTTGAGGTGGATCTGTTTTTAGCTCAGATATGACCACCAGTCAATGATTATATTCTTAAAAATAAAGCACTTTGATTATTTTGAGTACAGTTTCTAAAGAAAGGTAGCTATTCTGTCTTATTGCATGCGGTTGTTAGTTAATAAACCCGGATAAGAGTCTGTACTCTCTGGCTTTCAGATTTATGTCTGGTTTTCTTCTTGATCTGGACATGACTGGGTAAAGTAAAGGTGCTTATTTGTAGTAATATTGGAAACACTTTCTTATGCCATGCCTTGGTTGCAATATGAAGATTTATATAAATAGTGTGAAAGCAGGATAAGATTAAATCTGTTGAGGGCCTAAATTGAGTAGGACCCCCATATCTGCAGGACAAGTATTTGCATTGGAGAAAATATGTCATCTCTAGGAACTTTCTAAGTCTTTCAGGATGATTCTATGATAACTTCCTATGAAAGTTGATACACATTGCTTCCTTTTCCCATGGTCTGTTCCGGAATGTGTCACATGTGGATATGGGATTATACTTTAAGAGACCCTATAACCAAAAAGTAAATAATATTAATATATTATTTTAAGAGAAAATAAAGCAGTGGTTTTCAATGTGTGGGTCCCCAGACGTTTTGGCCTACAACTCCCAGAAATCCCAGTGAGTTAACCAGCTGTTAGGATTTCTGGGAGTTGAAGACCAAAACATCTGGGGACCCTCAGGTTGTGAACCTATAGTGAAAAAGTTCATATAACATGACATTTGTTATAAATGTTGTTTCCTAATTGGTTCTATCATAAAAACATGGGATTTTTTTATTAAACTGCAAAAAACTTTATATTTTGGGACATCCTGCAGCACATATTGCTATAGTTTTTCAGTGAATATCTCACTTAGTCTCAACCAATTCAACATAGTTTGTGGCAGTCATAAAAACGAAGTTTCTGGAGTATAACAATTACTTTCAAAGTAAGTATCACACAGTTAAATGGGAAATAACACTTGCAAACCAGGAGCAGATTTTTTTCTCCAAATTTTGTTACATAGTGCTATTTCTGCTGCTGCTGCTGTTGTTTAGGGGCTCATACCACAATCTCAGGCCAATATTTTTTAGCATACTTACCTTATACATAAATCTATTATTGAACTGGAACAATTCTTCTTTCTCAACTTCATGCAGTTTTGAGGCATTTTATTTACATTTTAACCTCTTCCTCCCTCCCAAAGGAATAACAGAAAAATAGAAGACTCCACTGAAACAAATGCTGAAATTCTTGCTCGCCTCACAGCTGCGGTATGTCTTTTATGTCATTTTTCTTCGTCTATTTCAAGTAATTATTTATTAGAGATGGGCTGTAGTCTCATGATTTAGTTCCAGTATTTTGTATTTGCAGTAACTGAATGAAAGTAAATTACCACTAGTATATTTATATCCTGGCCTTAAACCACTAAAATACATTTAAAGTTGTAATTATCCACAGTAAAGTGTAAAATGGTATATTGAAAGATCTGTAGTTATTAAAACTACATAAATCCAGATTAAAATGTTAAAAACACATAGTACAAACATCTAAGAAGTCTGGACAAATTCAAAGTCCTTGACTTGGCAGTCAAGGAATCTTGTTTTGGAAGGATATTTATTAGAATTTGTGATGCCACTTCGGAAGATGTCTGGTCATTTTCTGTCTTATCCCATAGTGCAGGAGACATGCAGGCTTCCATGGGGATGCTGTTGGTGGAGTAATTTCTCCAGCATAATATTAAATTTACAGTAGAAATCACTGATATTCAACAGTAGAAATCACTGTTATTCATGTCGATTCTCTAGTGGCAGGAAGATATCAGTGGGGAAATCTTTTATGTACCCAAGTGACTGTAATTATGCATTCTTGAAATATGATTTTGATTTCTCTTACTCATTGAAATAATTTGAGAAGGTGCTGAGAAGTGGGTTGTGGGCCAAGAAATCTAACGAAGTGAAAGTGATTAATCTTTCACAACAAATGGGTCACATGTAGAAACAGGTGTGCTACAAATTTGAATCATATTTGTGGTGGTGATGCTCTGGAATCAAAGATTAACATGGAGGTAGGTATGTTTAGCTCGGAGAAGAGAGTATCAAGAGAGCATATTATAACCATGTTATTTGAAGGGATGCCATGTTGAGGAGCTTGTCTAATATGTGGAACAATTGATTCAAACAGCAAGAAAGGAGATCCCTCCTAAACATTAGGGAACCTTTCTTGATGGTAAGAGCTGTTTGACAGTGGAATATGCTGCCTCCAAGTATGGTGGACTCTCCTCCTTTGGACTAGATGACCATCTCTTGGGAGTGCTTTGATTGTATGTTACTTTATGACAGGGGTTTGGACTGTATGCCTTTTGTGGTCTCCTCCAACCTTATGATTCCAAAGTGGCAGTCAGATTTGCTGAGAGTTGCAGTATTTTGTTAGGTAGAGCCAGCATTAGATTGGATATGGAGATCTTCTGCGGAGGCCCTGTTCTTGGTTCCGCCACCATCACAGGCGCATTTGGCGGGGATAAGAGAGAGGGCCTTCTCAGTGATTGCCCCTCAACTATGGAACTCCCTTCCTAGCCATATTAAATCGCCCCCCCCCTCCTGTCCTTCAGAAAGATGGTGAAGACCTGGCTGTGGAACTAAGTCTTTGGGGCAATGCAATGAGCCAATAATAGAATGGTGTCCTGAGATGGCTTTTAAACAACTGATTTTAAACTGGATTATTTTAATGTTTGTATTTTTAATGTTTGTGTTATGGTTTTATGACCTGGCATTGAATGTTTGCCGTATATATGTTGTGCTCCGCCTAGAGTCCCCTGCGGGGTGAGAAGGGTGGAATATAAATGTTTTAAATAAATAAATAATAAATACTGGACTTAGGATTCTTGGAGACCAAGGTTCAAATTCCTGACAGGCCATGGAAACCTTGGGCAAATGATATTCTGTCAGTCTCAGAGGAAATAAATGGCAAACCTTTGAAATAAAAACACTGCTTAAAAATGCCACCTCAGAGTTTCTGTAAATCAAAATGACTCGAAGGTGCACAACTGCATTTAGGTTAGAGCAAAAATAAATGGCAAGAAGCTTCCAGAAAAATATCTTGGTGGAATAAACCTTGTAATAGATGTAAGTAAGTATGAAATGCTTACTTACATCACAGCAGCTTTATATATACCCTGATAGAAATTGACCAGGAGAGAGACCCAACTGAAGACAAGCCTATTAAATATGACAAAATTTTGTAACAGCATTAATTTTTTGAATAAGCCTGAAGTGATGACTAATTGATTTTATATGGCTTTAAGATAGAGTATTTGTTGAAGGTAAATGTTAAATGTTCATTCATATTGTTGTATGATTCACCGATGCCAGTAACATGTTGTAAGCAACATAGAACCTCCAGGATAGCCACAGACAGAAAATATACCAGACCTATAGTTTACTGGAGGATCAAGCAGCTTATTAGATAGTTAGACCTAGAATAAGATTAGGGAAGGTGAGGATCTGTTTATTGCCTGAACAAAGACAGGATAGTGTGATAACATTTATTGTTGGGTCAAGTGTTGTGTATGGGGAGAGGTGATAAAGTCAGTTTGTGATTGGAATTGTCTTTTTTTTCTTGATTGCTTCACCACGAAAGGTAGAAATAAATCACAAGTCTCTAAGACCTAAGGTCCCAGCTGATCTTGACAAATGTGGCCGTGTCATTGTTTATTGGGAAATGAAATGGGCAATATAATGATTAATTATCTATTTGGACTTCATGGATATGGATTTTTTTGGACAAAAATTGTAATTCTATACAAAATGTCTAAAAAAAGGAGAGGAAGGTCTTTATCAGTGTTGAAATGCACACATAAAGATAATTTACCAACTTAAATGGTGCAGGAATACTTGGTCTGGCAGGCACACAAATACTAAGCATACTGAACTAATTATGCATACATCTCTAATACAGCATTATTGTCACGTGGCACTGCTTTTCATTGGCCTTTGGTCTGCTTGTTTCCCACATAGCTGCCATATCTATAATATAGTTTTTGGAAGGACTTTCTTGGAATAATTGAACAATTCCTTTTTTTATTGTTTTGGATGACTCAGACCAGAACTTGTTAGCAAAGGAAATGCATGCTTGTTACATACAATGGAAGGGCAAGAGAATTTCGAATGATAATAGTCATTACTGAAATGTGCTCAGTTTGTTGGATTGCAGGACACAACTGCAAAGGGATCACTTTTGTTCAGAGGCATTACATTTTAATAACATAACATTATACTTAGTGCTGTGATTTTTCAAAAGTGTCTTTGCTTTTAATGGCACATATATGTATGTGTGTTATTTTTAAAAGTACAAAATCCTTTTTCGAAGTATATGTTGGTCTATATAGACTCAATTCAAAATCTGAATAGTTTTTTTTATATCTAGGGCTGCTTTTGAAAACTGTACAGTAACACTTTATTCCTAGTTCATAATACAGGTACAAGATTGCTAAATGGAGAAGACATTAAGACATTGGAAATCTTCCGCTCTGGTGCTTTTTCAGATATAGTGGCTGCTTGTCAGTTTCTGAGCTAATTTGTAGGAGCAGTTGACTTTAATATTTAAGAATGTTAGGATATACCTACATTAGCTCAGTGATCAGGTTTATTTCTGTGATGTGTAACTAAAGGTAAAGGTTTCCCTTTGACATTAAGTCCAGTCATGCCCGAATCTAGGGGGTGCTCATTTCCATTTTTAAGCCAAAGAGCTGGCATTGTCTGTAGACACCTCCAAGGTCATGTGGCCAGCATGACTGCATGGAGTGCCATTACTTTCCTGCTGGAGCAGTACCTCAGTATACTGTCAGATTGGCAGAAGCTGGGGCTAAAAGCGGAAGCTCACCCCGCTCCCCGAATCTGAACCAACAACCTTTCAGTCAGGAAGTTCAGCAGCTCAGTGGTTTAACCCACTGTGCCATATTGCAGATAATGAGGGTGCAATATCTTGATGTGGACCAAAATGGTCTTTTCAATGATGGTGTTGCAATTCTGGAATATTTATTTATTTAAATATTTATTAAATCATTTTTATCTCACGCTTTGCCATGGGAACTCAAATAGAAGCATCTCTATGTTAAATACATGAATAATTCAATCAGCATAAATCATATTAAGTTAGCAACAGTTAGAACCACTTTAAAATTGGATAAATTTAAAACCAAGTATATGTAATCTTCGAAATAAATTAGACCCCAAAGTATTTAATAATTTAATAATGAAAAGTTATGTTTTTGGCTAAATGCTGGAAAGAAACCAATGTTGATTCCAGTTGGACTAACAATGTGAGGGCATTCCACAGTTGGAGAGTATAATAGCCAAAAACGCACTTCTGGCACCCTTCTTCTGCCAGGGATAGGCACTGTTTTTATGGTCTTTTGGTCTATTTTGCTAATCAGCTTTAATACGTTTTTGTGGTTGCTCATTTTTTTAAAGGTGCATCTATATAATATAGGTGTGTTCTTGTTTCTTGCCTTTTACATTTTCTATGACATTTATACCCATCCTGGCAATTCTGGATGAATATATATAGATATAGATATATAGATAAAACATGTAAGATTCAAATACACTGAAAGAATAAATATTAACCAAGGAGTGACACAGCATTGTATACTCCTATAGGCTGTTGGAGGGAAGATATGCTACTCCTATATATGCACATCGTTGGGGGTGGAAAGAGAAAGATACACAAACAAAAAAACTCTAAAGTCACATAAAAGTAACTGATGTACTCACATTTCCCTGAACACCAGTGGTGGCAAATAATTGAGGACTGTGTGGTCCCAGTGCCCACATATAGAGGGAACAAATATGATAGCACCATATATCTTCCTCAACATGCAAGAAGATAGCACTGCAATGCTCCCACCACAAAATTATTGTGGCACAGCCAGCAGTATGTTTGCTACTGCAAGACCTCAAACATCCTTCCAAATGAGAGTTCATATCGTCCTGTACTCTTCACAAACACTGTTGTGGGGCAGGATACGTAAAAGAGGAGAAAGGTGACTCCACAGAACATAGTACTGTCAGAGTCCTGTGAGGTTTTAATGTCTACAGCAGGGGTACTCAAACTTTTTAAGCAGAGGGCCAGTTCACATCCCTCAGACTGTTAAGGGAGGGGGCTGATTATCATTTGGAAAAAAATGAATGAATTTCTATTCACACTGCACATACCATATTTGTAGTGCAAAAAACTGAAAGAGCAATGCAATATTTAAAATGAAGAACAATTC